CACACCATATTTTCTTTTCCAGCAACTTTGAATCCTTCTGGCTGAGTCATGTAGATTTACTCCTCCAAGTTTCCATGTAAAAACTCCATCTGAAACTCTAACTGTGCTACCAAAGCCAACATAATTCTAATGGAGGAATGTTTTACAACTGGAGGAAAAACTTCATTGTAATCAATTCCCTCCTTTTGAGCATATCCTTTGGCCACCAATCTTGCTTTGTAGCGAACATCTTCTTGGTTAGGAAATCTTTCTTTCTTTGCAAATACTCATTTGCACCCAATTGCTTTCTTTCCCTTCGGGAGATTGGCCGATCTCCATGTATAATTCTGATGAAAGGATTGTATTTCATCATTCATGGCAATCCTCCACTTATTTTCTTCTGAACTTTGGACTGCGTCTTTATAAGTGGTAGGAACATCATCAGGTACAGTTGAGGCGACACAAGCAACCGTCTCTATAAGACGATCATGTTTTGTTATTGTCCTTTTTGGCCTGCTAGTTGCTATTGATTCAAGTTGTTGTTGAGGTTCCTGAGCTGGAATCTCCCTCTCTACTGGCTCTTCTTCCAGATGATAATCTTCATTTGTTTCTTCCTCTGCTTCTTGTGTAGGAAAAATAAACTCCACCTGCTTAGAAGCACCCTCATTTTGTTTGATATCTTTTGTTACCTTATTTACCATAGCAGATTCATCAAAGGTAACATCCCTGCTGAATATTACTTTCTTTGTCATAGGACACCATAAGCGGCATCCTTTGACTCCAGAAGTAATCCCCATAAAAATAGCCTTCTTTGCCCTTGAATCCAAGTTTGACTCTGTCACATGATAATATGCAGTTGAGCCAAATACGTGCAAAGAGTCATAATCTACAGCAGACTTTCTATACCATTTTTCAAATGGTGTCTTGCCATCAATAACAACAGATGGTAGACGATTAATAAGGTGGCATGCATATGTAACTGCCTCAGCCTAAAATTCTTTGCCCAAACCAGCATTGGACAACATACACCGTACCTTCTCCAGCAAGGTCCGGTTCATATGTTCTGTCACTCAATTCTGTTGTGGTGTATGTCTGAGAGTGAAGTATCGGACGATGCCATCATTTTCACCGACCTTATTAAAATGATTATTTTTGTATTCACCTCCATTGTCTGTGCGAATACACTTGATCCTCCTGCCTGTTTGATTCTCCACCATCGTCTCCATTTGAGAAAAATTCCCAACACTTCATCTTTGCTCTTCATTGTATACACCCATACTCTTCGGGAAAAATCATCAACAAAGGTTACAAAATAGTGCTTCCCACCCAATGAAGGTGTTTTGGAAGGACCCCAAACATCAGAGTGTACATAATCCAAAATGCCTTTAGTATTATGGATCGCTGTACCAAATTTAACCCTTGTCTGTTTCCCTTTGACACAATGCTCACAAAACTCCAAGTTGCAAGCCTTTACTCCTTTTAACAATCCTTGATCTGATAGAGTTTTCAAGGATTTTCCTCCAGCATGTCCCAAGCGCATGTGCCATAGCTTGGTTGCTTCTGCCTCTTTGTCGTCACTGGATGTCACTGTCGCTGTCCCAATAACTGTACTGCCACGATAGCGGTACATATTATTATTCTTCCGATTAGCCTTCATTACCACTAGTGCACCGGAGCATACTCTCATCACTCCATTTTCTGCAATGATTTTGAACCCTTTTGATTCTAGGGCTCCCACAGAGATGAGATTCTTCTTCAAATCCGGTACATATCGAACATCTATCAATGTTCTGATCATTCCATCATGGTTCCTTAATCGTATTGAACCAATGCCATATGAGGTAAGAGGGCTGTTATCCGCTGTGTGGATGACTCCATATTCTCCTTCTTGAAATTCCACGAACCAGTCCCTGTTGGGACACATATGATAGCTACAAGCCGAGTCCATCAACCATATGTCTGATGATGTTGATGACTCTGTTGTAACTAATGAGAAATCTGAATCATCACCATCAGCTATATTTGAATCCATAATGGCCTTTCCATTGTTATATTTGGCCTTATTCTTCAACTTCGGACAGTCTTTCTTCTAGTGCCCCTTTTCTCGACAAAAGGCACATTCATCTTTGCTGGGTCTAGATCTTGACTTGGATCTTCCTTTCTTTGTTCACGTTTGATTTTGAGGACGACCCCTTACAACCAGTGCTTCTCCTTCTCCGCCCTTCTGTTTTTCTCCCTTTCTTTGTTCATAGTTGTACGAAGCCGAACAAACTTCTCTGAGAGAAATTTCGTCATTCTCATGGAGTAAAGTAGTTTCAAGGTGCTCGTACTCATCAGGAAGTGACGCNTCTTCGGGAAAAATCATCAACAAAGGTTACAAAATAGTGCTTCCCACCCAATGAAGGTGTTTTGGAAGGACCCCAAACATCAGAGTGTACATAATCCAAAATGCCTTTAGTATTATGGATCGCTGTACCAAATTTAACCCTTGTCTGTTTCCCTTTGACACAATGCTCGCAAAACTCCAAGTTGCAAGCCTTTACTCCTTTTAACAATCCTTGATCTACTAAAGATTTCAAGGATTTTCCTCCAGCATGTCCCAAGCGCATGTGCCATAGCTTGGTTGCTT